TAAAATTAGAAATTACACTTCCAAAATCGACTTTTAACTTAAGAAGAACCGCTCGATTCAGTTCGGATCCGGTTCAGTCTGATTCCATTCGGGAGTTTTGTCCAACCCCAGCAGGAATTTGCCTTAAACCTTTCTACACCTTTCACCAATTAGAAAGTAAGGCCTCATACGCTCTAGAAGCACTGTAAATATATTATGAGCATATATAGTGCTAAATATTTAATATAAATAACAGAGCATAAAAAGTTATGGCCGGATCAATTTTTATTGAAAGAGAATAATATTCTGGTGTCGCAATACATGGATTGAGTGTTACCAAGGCGTATGGAGGGCATATTAAAGGCATGGTTTCGAGACAAAGATAGTAAACTTGTATGGGACCTTATTCCGAGCTGTATCGTATGGTGTGTGTGGAAGGAAAGGAACAGTCGCTGTTTTGAAGGCCAATCACGGACAATAGAGCAAATTAGGGAATTGTTTTATTTTACATTGTATACATGGTTTAATGCTGCGGGCTACTAGGCATATAAATGGGCTGCCTCATTTCATGTTGTTACTTTCCGATTTAACTTGATAGTATATTTTCTGTGTATTATGCATTGATTAATAAAATATTTGATTACATTTCAAAAAAAAAATGTTATATACTTTTTCAACATCGCCAACATTGAGCAAACATAAGTAGATGCAGCAAAATAAACAATCTTGCGCCATTGAAGGAAAAAATTCATCGCAAAAATATAAATAAATTAATTTAAAAAATCATCTAACTAATATATAGCCAAATTTTATCCAGTTTGACTCGAAATTGAAGCCAGTTCCCATATGTCAAACCGATAAGTTATTAAATCTCTAAATTAAATTAGCATAACTGGGGAAACTATTAACATGTATGTTACAAAGTAGATCAGAAGATACACAAAGGTTCTACTAAGTTTGCTTAAGAAGTCTACAAAAGCATCAAACTGCCCATGAACTATTGGGTAAAACAAACAGTTAACAATACTCTTCCACTGTAGTTTCCCGTTTAAGGTGCTCTTCTTTATGGGGTGGAAGGTGAAAATGAAGTTGCTCATATGACATATTGATATGCATGATGTATGGAGCAAATCAATGAAGCAATAACCCGTCAAATACTTTGTACCTAATTAATGTGAAGTCTATAGTGAGAAATAGAAACTTAGAAACCATAAGGTATATGGAGACATTATATTCCTTAAAACTATATAGAATCGTGCAAAAATATGCTACAAGAACTCATTTGAGCACTGCTCAGACATTAATTTGAGATTATGAGTTCAATATGCTCAAAGAAAACTTCACTTATACACAAACTTGCAATACTTCAAGATCTCGCTTTCCAGTGGCCAAGTGAAATTATGGAAAGATGAATCAACATCAAGCAGTGACCAAGCAATCAGTTTAGAAAATTATATTCGATTTTTGACTTAATTTATCTTGCATTTTCTTAAAAGAGAAAAGGATTGAAAACACAGTCGCAATGGCTTTCAGAAAATATAACCTATGAAAGCCGTTGTATGAAAGGACAGTCACAATACAGAAATCATAACATAATTTATTTATTTAACGTGAATTAAGGGATATGAGAAACACCGTATGCTGGCTCTAAAGAATCCAAATAAAGATCAGTAATTGTAAAGGGAGTGATTTTCCTGTTACCTCTCATAAAGTAATCCCTCCATGACATATCAGAGGGTTGAAATCTTTCAGACCAAAACCAAGTAATGGCCTTTGACAAAACAGCTTGCATTGTAAAGTGTATAGTATTCATCAGTAAGGGAGCAGGGAATTTCCCCAGATGATCCCCTAATAGAGTTTTATTATACCTGCTCCATTGGAAAAAGATAAATAAATAACATAATCTAAGTACCAATGCGTATGACAATATAGGGAAAAAAAACATCTATCTAATATTTTGATTAAGCAGAGGAAGAACTTACAGCGTCAAGAATGTACTGAATGTGTACCACATGAGTATAAAAAACAAAGTTTTCAGAAGATCAGCAACAGAAATAGAGTTCTTCGAATTTGACTTCGATGTACCATGGTAATCCATATAATCAGAGCCATTTGCCCCAGTACTAGAATATCTGTGATCATTTTCAACATCAAAGGGCTCATAATTCTTGTTCCCGTTTCTCAAATCATTAGTCGATGCATCATCCATATCACTACTACTATCCATCCTTATCTGAAGCTTACTTGAATGGTGTTTCTCTCCCCCTAAATACGCATTTTCCAACGCACTCCGCTGTACCAAAGTCTGTTCAAAATTGAAGTCCTCTGAATTTACATCCTCATTTTCTGATAGAGATGGATGGATGTTCCCATCCTCTTCACTCCAGCCCGAGAATGAGGGATCCCGCCTAATCAATGACCTTTTATCTTCAATAGTCAAATTATCACTTTCACTTTCCTCAACTTTTTCAGTATTCGAACCAGTCTCTAGCATTGCCTTTGGCATCATCAACTACAGTTCAGGCCATTTAAATCCTAAAATCTAGACCACATAATTGCGGGAGCCACATAATATTTTCTCCTATCGTTATGAAATAGCAAATACTGCAAACTTCTCTGAGATCAGAATTAATTATGTTCAAGTATTAAACCTGAAAACACAACGAAAAATTTAATCTGAGTCGTATATTTCAAAAGTTCCAGTCTTGCAACCTAAATCAATACAGGAAACACAAATCAGATGTTTCAGACAAAAGAAAACCCAATATTCAAATTTCAATTAGTAAAATCCCAGAACGCAAATCTGATAGATCGAGTACTATACTATAAAAGATACTATTTAATACAATACAGAATATAACATAACGTCAAACATTTTTCAGGAAAGAAAGAAGATGGGAACTGACACTGGCAAGAACAGATAACTATGAATCAAAAAATTCTGCAGAAACATACCCGAGTCAATTGATAGATTCGAAGAAATTAACAGAAAAATGACCTGGGTTTTTCTATTTTCTCTCTGATCGAAGAGTTTGTGTGATTTACGATTCGATCGGATCTGTCTTTTATCCTTTCTTGATATGTGTAATAGGGAAGGTATTGTTTGGTCTATGAGGATTTCTGTCGTCGGTTATGCTGTTAATGATTTTGGTAACGACTCGTTTGATTCGAGTCCAAGGAACAATAATCTATTTACGCCAAGCAGCAAATTACTGTTTACTGTGTTCACAGCTTCAAGTTGAAGTTGATTAAAGTAAGAAGATTTTCATTAAATGTGCATTGAAAAGTTAATAAAATTGTGAATATAATAAAGAGCCTGTTTGTAAAGATTAAAATCCAATTAAAATTGAAAATATAGTCGTTATTGGGTCTCACTCATCTAATAAAAGTCAGCAATAACGTCTAGTTTTTCAATTTTAATCTGATTTTAATCTCTACCAATCACGCTTAAAATATGTAATTAAAAATATAATTTGATCAGCCTTCTTAATAAACACGAGTTCTACTAAACAAGCACCTGAATATAAAGAATAGAGACAAGCAAAACTTCAAGTTAAAGCGATATAATTTTAAATTATTTCACTGTTTGATCGTGTGATTTTAAGTCAAGTGAAAATCGCATATAAATTTAACGTTCACGTTGAGAGCTTTCGTGATATAGATTTAAAACTTAAGGTTGAAGGTGGTTAATGACCACATCACTTGATGGATTGGAGATTCGGGAGCTAATTTCTCATTATCAATATAACATATGTTGATTTGGAAAATGATTTTTTTTTTTTTTTTTTTCACAACCTTTAAAATTAAATCATTACTAGAGTGACATATAATCATATTGAAAAAAAGAATATAAGACGTGTAGCTTAATTTTGAGGTAATAAACTTGTAACTTTACGGATCAATAAATTGAGAAGTAAAGATGAAATGTCGTCTTCATACTTTGTGTTGCCAAATGTATGATCATGTATTTGTTTTGGTGGCCTCCTCAGATTAAGCTAGTAACTGTCCAAATCTCAAATACCTGAGCTAGAAATTCCTTATTTATAGCTATTAATCTTTATAATGAAACAAAGTCAGTAAAGAATAATTTATATAAACAGGCATCAACTTTTAAGGCAAATTAGCCGGCTGCATAACAAGGAAAGAACATAAATGACAAAACCCTTATAATGAACGCAATCAACATGTCGAAGAACACACAATTTTTACCTTCGAAGAACACACGAATTTTACCGTGGTTGAGTTCACAATATGCAAATCTACCTCCAGAAATTGGAACAGCCTCAGTTCGCAATGGAAGGAAGTGTTAAGGCTTGATATCAAGAGTTTTTAAAGAATGCAACCGAGATTCTCTCTCGTCCCTCTGTGCCTCAATTCCCCTATCTATCTCAAAGGTAGTAGCAGCAGTGTAAAAACAGCTGAAAGATTGCAACAGCTACGTTTGCACAATTGAATGCATGCACAAAGATGCTGAAAACGGCAACCTGCAGGCAGCCTCAGTATCACAAATACATGAACCGGAACGAGGCATGACATTTACAGAGAGGGAAAATAACAAAAAACCCACGAAAATGCTTATTTGCCTAAACCTTTACTTAGCCTCAGTTTGCTAATTCATAGATGGTTTATAAAGGGAGACAATAATGAGTCTCATAAAATGTGAGAATAATGATGAACAGTAATTATGTAATTATGAATGTGTAGTTGAAATTCGTATTTACCTTTTATGTCTTCAACTGAATTAATAAACTCTTATAAATTTCTTTCCAAACGGAGGCTTAAAAGAGCAATGGTAAGGAGAACAAACAGCATCATACATAAAGTAAAATTTACATAAATCAAAGAGAAAACCAGAGGTGGTCAATGTTCAGGCTACATAACTCAACAAAACCTGTAATCTGCTATCGTAAAGATACAAAAGAAAATGTACAAGAAAACTAGCAAATCTAAGTAAATTCAAGACCAAAAAGGTGTCCATCTACTATATAACATTACAACATTCTTATATATCAGAACCTTCAAATGGCGCTTACTACCTCTCGCCAGCCAATGAGATGTCCTCTCAACTCAAGCAAAATGTTCCATCTGTGGGGAAAGCTTCTCTACATTCCACCAAGTTCTGTGGGCTTCTAATGACCCACTAGGATCCTTCCTATCGTCTAAATCTCTTCTTTCTGACTGTACTGCCTGTGTCCCAGACGAACCAGGAGCCTCCACAAGAAACTGTTGCCAAAAGACATCATTAGGCCCAGCTGACACTGAGGGAACCGTTCCATCTGGTTTTAGGTCTTTTGACATATCAATATCATGACCATTAGCTGGGCTCGTATTCACATCAATTCCCGATGGTGCAATGCAAATGGATGATATTGCAAGGCTGTCAACACAAGTAGAACATGCAGCCAGCTCGGGGGAAGAATGAAGATCTCTCGAAGGAGACGAGGATATATGACACTTCGGTGAGCAAGTTAGGCCAATTAAATCCGATTCTCCGGCTGATAGTGGCATTTCTGTAATAGTGACTGGCGAAGGCTGGGGGAGCACGCTAAAATCGTGAAAATCTTCAGATGGAATTTGATCGATCTCATGAACAAACTTGTCCCAAAAATTTAGGGAGGAATCCAACTGGTCAACTAATTCTGAGTTCAACAATGGAAGAGATGAAGTTCTTGGATTCTCTGCTTGGAAAGTCATCATTTGGCTATCTCCTCGGGCGGCTTCATCATGCAAATAATTCAAAGCCAATAACCTTCTCTTTTTATTATTCGACTCCAACTGTTCCATGAGATTAGAGACATATCTAGGTTTTTGCAACAACTGAGCCAAGGTTGTCATTAACTGGCGCTGCCTGTGATCAATATTTTGCAACTTTTCCCCTAATGATCTAATTTCATATTCATACTCCCGATTCTCCAGTGCACGCCTCTCAACCTCCGACTCAAGCAAAACCTTTTCGCGTTTTAGCTTGTCAATCTCCTTTTCAAGCTCCTCTCTTTCTACATCAGTTAATGGAGCTGCATTTCCTTGACCTGAATGGCTATGTATTGGCTTACGCCGGTGTATATTTTTTAAAAGATGTCTCTGTCCACGAATAAATTCTTCATTTGCAAACTCCCATTGATCAGGATCAACCTTTCGAAAACCCTACACAAAGTTAGGAAATTTAAGCAAAATGATCTCACAAGAACCGAGTTAAGACTTAAATTTAGACTTCAAAGCAAAAATAAGTATGAAGTGAACATTATAACTAGGTACACATACTGACACTTCAACTATGTATCCTAAACCTCGACTACATTAGTTAACAATATCAATCCTACACCATTAATTTTTGATCGATATTCATGGTTCATTGGTTTGATGATTCAAAATCCATAAAATTCAATAAGCAGTGATCAATTTAGCAGGATTTACAATATCAATCCTGCACCAATGATTTATGTTCGATATTCATGGTTTGCTGATTCAAAATCCAATAAGCAGTGATAATTTTAGCAGGCTGCACTTTGTTCTACCCTTTTTCATTTGAAATCCAACCTTCCACACACAAATATACACACTCACACAAAAGACAGTAAAAAGTAAAACAAAAAAAATTGGGATTAAGAAATTGCACTAAGCAAAGGTCTTACATATGTATTGAGCTGCCTAATGAAGCTGGAGAAATTATTGTGCTTGAAATACTTAGGCAACAAATCACGAGCAAACTCCGGTGGATTCCACACAACGAAACTATGCCCTGTATGGCTCCAAGAAACAACAGGATCCGTCAAAGGATCGTCTACCATGTCATACGTCTTAACCAGAAAAGGAGCAGGCGCGTTAGAACCACCATTTGATACATCCATTATAATCTGTATATTTCACCTCACAACAATCAAAATTCTTGTATTGTCTTCTTTTCAATTGAGATCAACTATGCAAATCTTTTCCTCGGAACACTTCAATTATTCAGAATCTAGATACCCAAATCCAGACCCCCAACAGACCCTAAGATTGACAGAAATTCAATCCCCCAAAATCCAAGAAAATTTGAAATTTCAACGGCTCAATTTTCCTACGGAATCAAGCAACTCTGAACATCAAGAAATTAAGAACAAAAACAAAAAACCCCCCAATATTTTTTTCCAATGATAAAACCCAACCTCGTGGAGCATCAATGGTGATTCTTGAACAACAATTAAACAATTCGAACACAGCCCATAAAAGAAAAGGAAAGTTGGAAACAAGATTCTTGTAGAGAAAGAAACCTAAACCCAAATAGAAAAACTATATATGGAGAACAGATCAAACTTTCGATCGTCAAAAATTGTCTTGACTATGGCAATAAGCAAGGAAGAAAAGAAAGAGAAGACTTGATTTTCAACGGCTCGTGGAGAACTATTCCTTATTAAAATTAAACAGGCTAAAGCGATTACTGGTTTGCGTTGAATTTTCAAAGATTCTGTAGTTTAGTTTAATATTTATTTGATTTGAGAGTTGAATTCAACTTTGACGAGGAACACAGTAGTGGACTATGGACTCATGATTAATATGAGAAGAAGAAAAAGTCTTTGAAAACTTTTGATTGAGCAGCCATTTCTTTCAAAAGTTGCTCAAATGTTTTTTCATTTTATTATCAAATTACTAATCGCTAAAAATTCAGGCAATGTTTAACTGAGTAAAGACTTACGTTGAATACCTTGGCAATGTTGAAAATAAGTATTCATACAAAAAAATTTGAATAAGGCAACTTACTTTTACTGAATTCAAGAATGGCTTATTAAATCTTTCAAACAATTTTAACGTTTGAGAATGGTAAATCATATATTCAATTGTCGAATTGAAAAATTGGTCGCTATAGATTACAGTGACTCAAACAAAATTATGCCATATTTATATTTTGGAGGGAGATTTTTTTTTTTTTTTTTAATCATAAATCCAGCGGCAATCAATTTTCACAGAAATATCCAGTGTCGAATAATCCCAATTAAATTCAGTTAAAATTAAAGAAATTCTTAAACCCGGTATAGTGCTACTAAATTTTGCAGGGTTTTGCTAAGAAAGTAGAGAAATGGAGGGTCAGACTGTGAGAAGAAGAGTGAATATGATTGCGGCCCATTTAGCTTCTCATGAAGATATATCTTCCCATGATAAATTTCTTAAAATAGATTGTTTAATTTGATAAGTAATACTGAAAAAGCAGAAGACTGTGTTAATTATTATGCTTCTTTTGTTTTTGATTAACTGAAATGGATTTTCTAGATTTTTTTATATAAATAAGAACTGAAATTATTTTACTTGATAAAACAGTTTCTGCATTTTCTCGTATTCCAGTGTTCTTGATATTGTTATTGATTCTGTGAACTGTTTAAACCATAAAACTTAACCCTATCTTGTTAGGAATTACTTAGATTTCAGATTGTCTAAAGATTGAAAATGCATTAATTTTAGAATGCAGATAACCAAAAATTGCATTCCTGAAAGTTTTATTCAGTTAGTAGGTTATGAACTCAATGCTTCGCATTCGCAATTATTTTGTTTCATCTATGAAATCTATGTATTGAATATCTTCTGAAACTTTCCTCTCTTCGGTAGTGATTGATTTAGATTAATCGAGAATGTGTGGTAGAAACTGAAAAACCAGAAAAGATTTTCTTACGGTTGTCTTCTTGCATTTCATATGCCTGGGAACAGAACCCAATACTTTGATCGTGTGTTTCATGTTGTGTTTCTGTTTAGGAATGTATATTAACGTATTAGTTTTTATGTAAACTTATTATATAAGTTTGTTGTAAAGATTTTGCTTCACCCAAGTGTCGATACTGATTGCGAGATAAATATAATCCGAAGTGGTTATAATGTTATTCTGAACTGGAATTGGATGTAAATGAGGTAAATCCTGATAGACAACCCTCTTAAATGCTCAATTTTTCTGTAAGGAAAAAGGATTTCCAACAATAAGGGTATAGAAACCAATGATGTTGAAAAATAATGGAGAAAATAAATAGAACTTCACTAGAGCCTCAATTGGAACACCTTTTCAGGTCTAATTGTTGAAAGCTTTCAGTTGAAATTTGCTGGTAAATGCTTCAAAGATAGATGAAATGACATTAATTCACTACAGTGTATTAGTACTTCTCGTTCATTTGTGTTGGACACACAAACATACGATAAAAACACGAGTGTGTGTGTACTGAAATATAAAGAGGATTAGGAGGGAGTGAAATTGAAAGATACTGGAAAAATGCAACTATTAATGAAGTTTATGCTTGAGAAACTCTTAAAGATAACGAGTGCTCCGCCCACCTCTAGGCAAGTGCTTGGTAAGCCGACAGCTCAGTGTGACTTCATTTCTACCAAAACATCGATCGAAATATTTGATGAAGAGAAGTAATGATGATTATGAAAAGAGATGAGGATCAATGCAAAAGGCAGTCGAATAATTATGTCGAATGTTCTTGTGTATTATGGTTCCTCTATTTCACATGAGCTTATAAGTTTTTCCCTTAAGAGTTACGGTAGGTAAGGAATTGAATTTTTATTTGACCTATTCAGCTTCATGACTACCTGCAGAGTTGCAGCAACGGTAGTGTTTGAATGCGGTGTAGATTTGACAACAGAATGTATTTTGCTTCATGAGGCAGACTTCACGTTAAAAGGTGCATAAATTAATTGAAGGCTATTTCTGTGACTTCAGGATCTGGCTACTAACCTTTTAGCCCTTGGACAGGAAAACTTTACTCAACCTACTATGCCGGTTAAATCTAGCGTCTGTGCAATCATGTGCTCTAACTTCAAGCCAACAAACCACCCTTCCGAATGTTAGAGAAACTCAGTCTGCGATGCAGTGTCACAGATATGTTGATCCTTCAACTGAAGCCCCAAAATTTTGCCAGGCCACACAGAAATTGTGTGCAGCCACAGTTTCAGTGTACGGAAAGGAAGCACAAATCTGAATCAGGTGATTGGAACAGACGATCTAAAGTGTAACTTTTGCAAATTATTACATCGTATTATCATATATATAGAAGTTTCTCTCGTTTTTGTCGCTTAGTCTTGCTGTACAAAAATGTTCGCCTAGGGCCTTGAAAGGTGAGAGGGATATTACACAACGCTCTCTCCTCCCGACTGTGTGCGTGTTTTTTTTTCATTATTTGTACATGTGTTCATGGTTTTAGATTAGATTCTGATATGAAAACAGTATTTTAGTTTTAGCTCCTGTATTCATAGTAACAAAAGATGGTGAGGGTCAGTATAATATGGTCTCCCCTTAACTGATCTTATTTTCACATATTTGTACTATGATTTTAGTAAAAAATTGTTGTCTTAAACTCAACCTTTTCATCAAATAATAATTGATATTTCCTTTCTTATTTCTGTTATTTCACTTCATCCTCCAGAATTTAAGTGGTCCACGAGGAGAATCCGGACGCAATTACGTAGCTACATTAGATTAGTACTCCAGGTGTCCACCTCAACAGCATAAAGGTGTAAATCAATGACCAAGTGTAAGATAAAATTTTGTATGATTTATCTGATGTACAGGATATCCCATTTAGTACTGAAATATGTAGCAATCACTTCAACGATGATTCTTAGTGTGTTTGAACACATAACAGTCTTGGTGAGACATCCCATTTTTTAGCAGCTTGACTGTAACTGGAAATCGTTCGATCTGGTCATGGAAAGGGGATAATTTTTCAAATGAGTTAACTTCCCGTTATCACAAAAGGGAGATTTTACAAGGAACTTATCAAATGACGAGGTCGCTTCATGCTAACGTGAACAAGGATGCTATTTAGCGGAGTTTTTGTAAGTTTATGTTTTTTTCCATCTTGATTTCATGTTTCTTCTTATACAAATGTTTAGAATATCATGAGTAGCCATCATTATGACTAGTTGATAGGTCAAATTACCTGTTTATGGCTGTGTGTTGGTGTGAATCGGACAAAACAAACACTTTTTCTTCGTTGCTATCACTTATGAAATTTTAGTGTAAAATGCTTACCTAAGGTGGAAATCTATCTTTACCTGTAATCAAATGCGTGACTTGGAAAAACAGTTTTCTCACTGGAGAAACAAGAGAACGATTTAGCAAAGCCCTTGGCATTCTAGAGGACACTGATTTTTTTGCTTATAGACCTGCTACAACTCCAATGGAATCAACAAGTTAATTCTACTGATGGAAGCCTCATTTATAACACAACTACCAGACTAGATATCGTGTTCTCTGTTCAGATTGTTAGTCAACTTATGGCTAATCAAAGACTACCCCATCTAGATGTTGCTCGGCGTTTGCTCTAGTATATTTAACGATCATGTGGATGATACATTTTATTTTCTTTAGCTAGTACACTCCAACTAAATGTTTTGTTGCGTTCTGATTGGGAAAGTCGCACAATTATTGCATCTCGTTAGGTTCTTCATCAAATTCATGGAAGTCGAGAAACAAAATTTTGTTTTTTGATTTTCTATCAAAGCAGAATATGTTCGATGGTTGTTACCTCTTGTAATATAACATGGCTCCTTTAATTACTAAAAAAATTACATATTTCCCATCCTCAACCAACTAATGTGTATTGTGATTATAACAAAGCTGCTTTGCACATATGTGCCAATAGAGTATTTCATGAACGCATTAAACATATCATAATTGATTACTGTTGCACCTCACGAGGCTCTAAATCATGGCCGTGTGGCAGCTAGCTAACAAGTTCAATCGGGCCTAAGTTGTTCACTTCCAAGTTGCTCAACTTATCAAAACTGCATAGCTTTACTATTTCTTCAACAATCCCATCTTTCTCTTCCTCCAGGGAAAATGGCTGGTCCAAGTGTTTTGCCACTTTTATCACGCAATCCGAGGGATGTTTCTTTAGATCCTCCTAGGTTAGTATCAGTACCTTCTGAGGAGACTCCATGCTTGCATTCCAGAACCCTAGGACATGATCCCAGTATGGACCAAACTGATAGATCCCTTCACAGAACATGCTAAAACAATCTTCAAGGGTAAGTTCTGGTAGATCTTTAGACCTCACCTTCTGCATGTGATACCAGCTCGAACCGAACACTTCCTTCTGGTCCCGGACCACGTAAATAATCCGGCAGGCCGAAGATCTTATACCGACTCGGGTAAATGTGGATAAGGGGTGTGAATGGAGAAAACTCTAGGTGAAGAGGATATGTCAAGCTTTGGTGTATCATTCTCCTGGAGCAACAAGACTTCCAAAAATGGAAAGCATTCTTGGGGATTTTTGGTGAGCAAAGGGTGTTTGGAGAAATCATATAGCTTTCGACTGATGATGGCGAAAGCGAGGGCTTTCAACCACGTCGTACCACATTTAGGGAAAGTAGCAATAAATTATCGGTGGGATGAGCCAAGAATTGGTCTTGTGCTAACAGTACACCCTTAATAACATTGGGGTTGAACCAAGTGTCATTGTACTTAACAATACTTTGAAAAATCCATCCTTTTTCTTTAGGAAGAGTCGCGACTATTTCCTCATACACATCGGTTCCCTTTTCGGGGCGATTACGGTTTGTGGAAGCCATCAGAGAAAGGCTGGACTGGTTTTTACTTCTGGTAATGCTGTGGGGTTCTTACAATTTGGTTGCAAAACCTGCTCCATTTTCGGTTGCTTGTTTGCATTAAAAAGAGAAAGTTTGACCTTAATAAGCATCAAATGCTTAATCCAATCATAGCATAATTACATTATTATAAACACTTGGTAGCCGAAAATGGTGCTATTATTTTCCTTTCGTCTACCAAATTTCGAATATTATGTTGCTAAGCATCCCCCATTTGGTGGATCAGGAGCAGATGTTAGACTCGTCTTAACTATTCCCCAGCTTCAAAGAAGAGAAGAATGAAATTTTTTTTGTCCTTCCATCATTTGTCCTTCAACCTTTCAAATTTTTCGACTATGTGAGTTAATGGTTTTTAGGTCACAGAGACTATTCGTTCTAGATAATCAATAAATATACTTAAGGGTCGTTTGGAATAGCTTTTGAAAAATCATAAGATGCTTCTGAATTTAATAAGTCGTTTTAGAACATGTTTGAATAATTTTTTTGAAGTGATTTACGAGAAAGCTAACCTAATTACTTCTACAAGAAATAAAGCAAAATAAAAACCTTGTCAAATGGACCATTCAAAAGATTGTTTTCTTTAGAAAATAGGAATATGTTGTATTTGATTGATTTAAATGTTTAATTATACTACTCGTACAATCTTTTTTCACAATTTTAGTTGACAACATCACATTCATCCAATTTAAAAATTATTTTTTAAATCAATAGTCCAAATTTTGACAAAAATTGTACAATTACGTTAGTTTTTAAATATTTACGAAGAATCAAAAACAATTAAATTTTAAAGTGACAAAGCAATAAACTATGCATGTAACACATAAATTTCTATAAACAATAAAAGTCAACTGCAAATAAAATAATTTTACTGAAATCCCGTTCGGTAGGAATTAAAATTTAAATTTTCATCTAAATCAAATTTAATAATTAATTTCAACCACATATTTTATGGGTCTTACAATTTTTCAACCACATATTTCATCAACTTCTATCAAAATCTATTAAAATTTTAATTTTAATCCCCACCGCACTGAGGCTAAGAGTAGTGCTAACACTAGTTTAGGTGGCAACAACACATTAAATGACATGTTCAATTAAATGACTTAAATAATTTTGCATTTAGGGCGTGTTTGCTAGAGATTAAAATTGAAAAACTAGTCGTTATTGTTGACTTTTATTAAACGAATATGACTCAATAACTGCTACATTTTCAATTTTAATTAAATTTTAAACTTAGCCAAACATGGTCATAATTGATACAAATTATATAATGCGACATAGATCGGTGCTCTAGCACCAATGCTAAATATTATTATTCTTTTACTCATGCAAATGGCCAACAAATCCTTATGTTTGGCTGCTACTTATAAGTATCATTTTACAAAAGTAAATTTCAATAAATTCGCGTCGGTTCAGAAATGAACACAAGAGGACAAAATACAATTTTAATAATTTTTAGATTATATTGATGCAAGTGGGAGTTCAATTCTTAACAGGAAATTACGAAGACTCCATAACATAATCATAGAGCGTATATCAATTCTTGTCGCTCTCAACTAACAAGCATCAACACAATCATAATGTGAAAAATTTATAAAAATTTCAATGTTCAATGAATAAAAATTGACTCTAGATATAACAAAATAATCTTTACCAAGATCTTACGTCAACAGAAAAGTTTGGCACCTCGATGTCGGCTCTTCGCCATCTGTAATTGTAGTATGTTTCAAAATTTGGGTTATTCATCATTAAAACAATACGTAAGCTTTGACCAACTTTTAATTTCATAATCAAATCACGTTTCATGTGCATAAAATGATTAATTCAACCTTAAGAATACGGTCTGGTCTAAATAAAAATCAAGAATATAGCTACTAGACTATTACCATGATTGATTTCGATATTGTAAAGTACTTCATAAAGTTGGACGTCAAAGTTCTAGCATCAATCGAACTTTAATTAATAGAGATAAAATTCTAAATCTCGTTTACGTGATATGATCTTATACTCGAAATATATCACAATTTTCTCAAGGAAATTCCTTGTTTGTTACCACACTTTTAAGTTGTGCTACAACTCTCCTACCGCCTTTCACCATCAATTTGCTACACATTGGTTGTGGTGTGTTTTTAGACATTTAAAAGAACGATGAAATTGTAATTTCAAAATGAAATCAGAGCTTAAGTTCTTAGCTTGTTCGGTATGTGATTATATAAGCCTTTAAATTATAAATAGTTAAAAATAAATGTAGATAAATAGACGAAATGTGTGGATAAAACTAGTGCAAGTAATCTAGCGGTTTCGGATGAGGAATCCCTTGCCCTTGTGGCTCAATTGGCTTGGAATATTCATATCCCTCGTAAAGAGGCAAAACCAAAAGAGTATCAAAAAGGGAGCTAAACGCCGTTAGATGCGTCTAGAGACAGGAGGAAGAATTGGCACCAAGATGATCGTTTTGACTATCTTGTTCAACATCGATCATTCTTTCCAATGATGGTTGTAAATGATACCCCACTTGACGAAGCCCCTATTTGAGCATCACTCTTTAATATTTATTTTTGCAAACTCATTTTTTATCACCCATTATCTCTTAAAATTCTGCATGTAAATTCAAACATTTTTTTTAACTACCCATTTTTTCAAAAAATCACTTTTTGAGAAAATCTATTCTAAAAAATGGGGCTCAAACATGGTCGAAAAGTGATTGTGATGGTGCTGGTGAGATGGTTCAAGCTAAACCTAATTAGTGATGCATAAGATTTAGAGAAAGAGCTGAAATAGAAACTTGCTCCCTAAAGAAATTCTAAAAATGATAGAAATGGGAGTTGTAATTTTAGTCATTGAGAAAACATCAATATATAGTACAACCCAATAAACTAAATATGTTAAGATAAATAACAATTCCTAAAATTAAGTACATTATCATAATCATAAATCATCTTGATCAATTTGTCTTCAATGATTCATTGCTTTCCTCCATCATATATTTTTGTTAAGATTTGTTGCTGCTAATACCCTCCCTCAAACTTTGCCAGGATTGGAGGCAAAGTTTGTTGCAAAAATGAATGAAAACTGTTTTGGATACTAATGTTGTGAAA